GCCCCTGAGCCTCTGGCCTGTACCCCAGTTCTGTATGAGTAAATAAATCTTAAAAAAAAAAAAATTAAAAAAAAAAATGAACTGTAGAAATAAGCTGCTGAGCGGAGGCTGCTCGAGGTGTAGGAAAGGAGGGCTAGGCACAAGGAAGAGAGAGTAGAGGGTTAGGGGTACTTTGCTGGTGGGGGTGGTGGGATGGCACACATCTGAGGAGGTGTGAACCTGTTCCCCTAAGTCATGTATGGTGTTTCAAATCATAGGATCCAGTAAAGAAAAAATAAAATATCTATGGGAATGAAGCATCACAGTCATTCCATGATTTCCTAATTTTGTTTCAATCCATCAGATACTTCTTCTCTCTCTACCTTACAGTTTCTTTCAGACTTACTATTCTTCTTTCCTCCCCAAAATATCATTTGCTTATGCAAAAAAAAATAATATCTAAGTCTTTAGAATTTGGTGTTTCGAAATACTAAAACTTGAATTCTTGGGATCTCAAAATTGTGGTTTTAAAACTGAAAAGTCTTGACTTTTTAAGTTAAAAACAAATGAACTTTTTGTTGATTTTTTTTCTTTCAATAATTGTTAGTGGAAGGACAAGTGGTGTGAAGAAAAACTAATGTGTTACTTTACATCTTGCTATTACATTTTTTATGCTTATGAAATGTGTTACATAGCTGAGGTTTTCTGTAGTTAGTAAATACTTAATACCTTATGTTTTCAGGCACCAAAGAGAATAAAGAAACATATAGAAAAATCAACCCACTCTACTTTGTGAAATTGTTAATTATTAGTCAATTAATTTGTAATAAGGCTCTTGATATTTCCATATAAAAAAGAATGTAGTGAGTGGATCTGACTAGTTGTCACGCACACACACACACACACATTAGGGAATACTACTCAGCAGTCAAAAGGTAGAATCATGTTACTTGTGGCAACACAGATGGAGCTGGAAGGTCTTATTCTCAGTGAATGCAGTCAGAATGAAAAACATTAATATCAGATGGTTTCACTTGTATGTGGAATGTAGAAAAATCAACAAAGGGTCAGAAAAAGAAATAAAGCTTACAAGCTGACCAAGAGATGAAGCATCCAAGAGGAGAACAGGAGATCAACAGAAAGGGGAATAGCACAGGAGATTATGGTGACGGATCATGGGTGCTGTGGTGGTGGGATAAAACTATGGACACTAAGCCTGAGGAGTAAAATCATATATTGTCCAAAATAACAATGATTTAAGAAAAAAGTACTTGGCCTAAAAATTTTAAAAAGTCAGAAAAAAGGGAAAAGAATGTGTCAGTTTTATGGTGTTTTGGTGTGAGAAACTAGTGAGGGCTTTTAGGAAATTTAAATGTGTGTGCGTGTGTGTGTGTTTATGCGCTACTTCTTGGAACTTGAATTACATATGATTATTACACTGCACAACTTTAATTACAAAGAATTAGTTGAATACTGCTGTTCTTTTTTTAAACACTTTTTTTAAAAATCTTGATTATTAGAATGTATTGAATGGATATTAGATTAAGAAAATTAAAAGGTTGCATTTGAAACGTTTTCCATAACAGATTACACCATTGTGTTAGCATTCACTATGGATTTTGGACTAGAGTTGATTTTCTTTCTCTTTTTTCCATTCAGAGAATTTATCAATAGCCTTCGGATCTACCGGACATTCTATGGTGGCCTGGCGGATCAGCTGTGTGTTAATGAGTTAGCTGCTGCAGACGGACAGCAGTGCTGGGATGGAAAAGACGTAGTCCAAAGGTATTTATATATATATATATATATATATATATACATGTATAATTTTTTTTTCTTACATCATTCTTCATTTTTTTGGATTTTTTCATCTCGGTTGTAATCCCCATGGATTTCCCACCACCAGTTCACCCCTGTGCCATCACCATAGTCCTGTGCTCTCTTCCCACCCCAGTTTTGATCTTATTCCTCTCTCCAGCCCGGTAGAATGTCTCTGGTTTATAGTTGTTTGCTGATTTTAGTTTTTACTTTATTGCAGTTGCCTTATTATTATTATTTTCCTGATCCCTTACACTCCTGCTAGGAGTGGAACCATCCGGTATTTTTCTTTTTTTCCTGGCTGATGTCACTGAGCACGATCCCTTCCAGCTCCATGCTCTTTGCCACAAATGGCGTTTTATGTGAAGTTGTCTTTGCAAACATACACCTTGCTTTCATCCTTGCTTTCTTTTCCCCGATCTTGAATGGATTTCTTCAGTTGTAGCTTTGCCATACAGGTTACAGTACAGTATACACAGTATTGCTTTTTCCTTGGTTTGATAAAAATAAATTTGATCCTTTTTGACATTTTAGATATGAAAGCATTCTTTGCTATTTTAAAAGTGTTTCTCTTCTACCTATCTATGGCGTAACCAACAAAACCACTTTTCCAACTAGGTCCAGTCTGTCTTGTTTGTCAAATATCTGATTTACTTTTAGTTATAATTTTATGTGTATTAGAAAGTGAGGAAATTTGGTTTGGTATAAAGATATACTGATTTGTTTAGCTATGTCTATCCCGTGATTAACTGTGAGTGTGTTTGTGTGTGTGTGTGTATAAGAATGGGCAGTTGTGTGTATGTATGTGTATTTTTTATGTGTATATTTTCAGTGTTCTCAAACTCAGGAGTGAAATTTATCTTTTACTGTTTTCCTCACTGTATAGAAGTTCTATTCCTTTGCTTCCTATAAATTTGGTGATGCTCTCAAATAATCTTCTAAGCTTCAGAAATTAAATTCTCCTTCTGTAGCTATAATAGTGGTCAGTATACTTGACTGGGAATTAGTCCTTTCACTTTTGTTGGAGATTGCTACTAGAATGTGGGTTTTGTGCTGCCTTTGGATGTGAGTGCTTAGTATATTTGATTTCGAGTAATGTGCGAAAGAAAATGTTAAGCTCCCTGATTTGTGAATATAGCTAGTCTTCATGAAGCTAGGTAACTTGGTTACCACAAGAAAGATGAATCAATTGGAAATAACATTTAGCAAGTTTCATTTACTATGGTATATATGCTATATTTAATAAGGATATAAACTTATATGATGGAAATTATTTCTGGGTGACTATTTATTATAATTAAAGTTTACATTACTGATATATTAAGTGATTATCCTTGATATGGTAAATGATTATTTTGCAGTTAATATTAAATATGACTTTATCATAGATAACCTTAGTTTTCACAGAAAAAAAAATTAAAGACAGGAACTGTGGTTAAATTTAAATGAACATTAGGCCAACCATGCTATGCTCTTTTTTCATAATGGTCCTTGGATATTCCAGTGTATTTTTCCAAGTATATCTTTCTGCTTATGCTTAGAGCAGTCATAGCAGGTCTCCTCCTTTAAATTCTTACACTATTCATGTCAATAAGATCACTGCCATTTAGATCTATTAAGTTCTAATTTAATTTATTCCTTCTCTTTTAACATTGTTCCAACTGGAATTGACCTTTTTTGCATGTTGATGGTTTTGCTACTGATTTCATTAAGGACTAATGAAAGTACCATGGTGATTACTGAAATATTGAGCACCTTATATAAGTACATCATATCACTTTAATCTAGAACTCCCAACAACGTGTGCCTTTCTTATCTTGATTATTTAGTGTGGGGGTTCTATAATAAAAAATATTGGGCAAATACATGGTTTGGGACAACTTTTTAGAGTGATAGATTGTATTTTAATTCAGAGAACACATTTTCCTTTTACATGTCCATCTCCATATTTATGTCTACCTATCTATACATATATTTCTTTATTAGCCATCAGATTTAAAACTACATTCATACAACCATAAACTATGCGAAAGGTCATCTTCAGCAAGAATCTTGGTGAGTATTTACATTTCTGAAAAAGTGATTCTCATTAATCTCGTCCTTCTTTAGCTCATCCCCCCTTTCCTGTCTACCCGGCCTCCTGCTTATCAGTCACTTCCCAGTGTGGCCATACTTTACTGTCAAGCAACTTTCACTTCACCTTAAACATTTTTCAAGCATCCCTTCTACCTCGTCCCGTAACTAACAGTTGTTCTTCCTTCAGGATATTTCTTTATCATCTTATCTTCTTGATTCCCAACTGACTTTGGTTTGCCAGGCCAGCAGACAAGCCTCACATTCTTTGGCTCTCTACCACCATCTCTAGGCTACTTCCAAAATGAATATTTTTTTAGTCTGATTACTTTTGTAGCAGCTTAAGGTTTCACAAGCATTTTGCCATGCAACCTTTTAAAAACTTTACTCCCTAACCCTTCAAAAATAATGGATTAGGTAGTATCTCTTTTGTAGTTGATGTTAAGAAAACTTTCATGTGTACTTTGACTTTTAAAAATATATATAACTAAAATCATAATTCCTTTAAGTCAATTCTTGATAAAATTTAGAACATTTTTTTTACAAAGGGAATTCAACACATATCTATAATCGTATCTGGTTGTTCATGTATATGCAAGACAGAATAGCATATGGCAATCAAAAATAATGCATCTGATAAAGTGGAATATTACATGTAAAAAATAAGATACAAGTTATTTTCTAGCAGGTTGAATAAATGGAAGATGCTGATATTGGTTCTACATAGAATATTTCTGAACAGTTACATGTAAACACTAATATATATTAAAGGGAAGGATTTTATTATTTTATTTGCATATTATTTATTTATTTATTTAATTTAAAAAATATTTATTTATGCATACAGATCTGGGCTATAGGCCAGAGGTGCAGGGATGGTGAGAGGATTCACCAGAGACAGAATGGGGAGCAGAACAGGCTGAGCGACGAAGTACACTGCTGAAGGGAGCAGCGGGCGGGTCAGGGGAGGTCTGTTGCGCCATGTGGGTCACCCCTGGGGTGGGCAGGTTTTGAACTCATGCTGAAGTGGCTTTAGCTTCTTAGTGCTGTGCTTGAACCCTCTGGGCCACCAGGGAGAGCTCCTTATTTATTTATTTTTAATGAGTATAAATGGTAGTGATGGTAGAATTATTGGTCATGTTTTTTTTTTATATATTTTTTTGTAGTAATTTCTGTAATGTAGGTTTATCAATGCATTGATAGATTTTGCTTCATGATGTGTGAATGCATTTATCTAAAAGGGCTTCCATACAAAGTTGAGTTTTATTGGATATTATCACTTGAATTATTAACTACTTTCTCCTTGAGTGAAAGCAACATTTATCAGTGATCTGTGGTAAAAAGTAATAAGATCTTCATATATTCATTTCAGAGACCTACAGTTAGTTGAGATAACACCATTAAATTTTGAAGAATATCAGGCAAATGTATACCACATCTGGAGATAATAAAGTTGCCCCCCCCATTTTAATGGTGGGTTATAATATTCATCAAGTTTATTCAGGAGAAATTGTACTAAACACATCAACAAGATAATTTGAAACTCTCATTCATTGTAAGAAAAAAGTGATTATTTTGGCAAGATTTTGTCTCCTAAGGCAAGTTTTTAAGTACAAGATTGGTAAGATTATTCATGTACTAAGAGTCATACAAGCCATTTCAGTATCATTAGTTTTAGAAAGTTGGGTGAAATCATATTTGTACTCATCAAAAGAGATAAAGTTTCTTTGTGTTGGTAGATGAAAATCTCTCATATCTGTGGTATATAAGGAGTGTTTAAATCATGACCATAATGTGTGTAAACTCAAATGATTTTAAAAACTGCATGCATTTCATATATTCTGCTACAATACCACAATATTGAGTTAAACAGTACAATAGTTTCTGATTTAAGATGAAAATGTTTTCCTGAAATCCATATAATTGCATAAAGCTCCTCTTATTTACCTTTCTTCTCTTCATCATGAAACAAAATTATGCTATGAAAGGGATGTCTGTCCCTACTTTGTTTTCAGTGATTGAAAATGGATTTTTTGATGGTACTCGCCTGACTATTGAAGTTCAGCTGAGAGCTATGTAATTATCAAGTCTTCCTTATCCCTTTTGATTAATAGACAGATAATTCACTAACTCTGCCCCAATCTCTATGAATTCATGACCTCCACAGTAACTCTTACACCAGTCAGTAGCTGTTAAGTGTCCTCGTAAAAAATTAATCAGCCATGTTGTTTCTTCTCCATCATGACTTAGTGAATGTCTTTGAATGCTTGTATCTTAATCCAGTGTTTCCTAACCTTATAAATTGCACTTCTTAACAAATTACAATTGAATTTCTTTAAGTATTTAAAAAATATAAAATTTGAAGTTTGATAAAAATAGTAAACTTCAGAAATTTTATGCTTATTTATTATGTTTCCTTTTCACCAAACCAATGGAATTTTTTTGTGGGTGTATCTTATTTAAACACTCTTTTGCCTTTTATCCATTATCTGTCTGGTAAGCCACTTAGTCTCCAATCTCACCCAACTTTTTTTTTTAATACTATTTACCTAGTTTCCACATTATTATGTATTACATTTTAAAGATAATCAGATCTCATTTTATGCTAAAATTCATTAATGTAGCAACTAGTATCTTCGTATCTTCTGAAAGTGCACAAGGGGGTATGTTCTTTATGACTTCTACATCTGTCTGCTTTCTAGGTCATTTTCTCCCCTTAATTTTTTAACCTCTTCAGCCAGGTTCCCTGATATAAGAGTCATCATTGCTACTGTTTCCATGACTTACCTTACTTGGTTCAGAATTGAAGGCTGTTGAAAAGGTGTGATCAGAAGATATTTCCTCTTCCTATACTTCTGCCGCAATTGACTGTGAGCCTGGAAATTCCCATTATT